TATATATAATGAGCAATGTAATAATATGAAAGCGAAATTCTTTTGAGGTGCAAGGTTCAATTACGGATTTCGATCTTCATTCTTCTGGATGAGTTAAAAAAGCACATAAGATAAAAAAGACTTATCTAATTTGATGACCGATATAGTTTCCAATTGATGACAAAGATTACATGAGCATAAATAACATAATTAAATCTCAGACTAATGTTGAGGATAGAGTGTACTGTTTTCAACGGTACGCAATAAATATGACCTTACCTCTTTCATTTCCTTGCTATTCATACCATCACACACCATAAGAAGCACATTTCGTAGCGTTGCCCACCTTCCATAAACGTTTGGATTGTCCATGTTACGTACATTGATAACCTTAAAATTGGCAGTAGGTTACAATGAAGCAAAAATAATCCAATTTTTTGTTTCGCTTTATATTATATTAAGTGCCTTAAACACGCAACTGTCAATTATCGTTTTTATGATCCTCAACCTTTGAAAAAATTACAAAAAAATTTCTTTAACAACAGACTGTTTTTTGCCAAAAATTTCTCAACACTAACTCTGTCAAGCAATTCTAATAAATATAAGATTTGAAATTCTGATATCGAGCAATACAAAATTCAAGATCACTTCAAAAGTGAGTTATCTTTTGCAGGTCATTGAAGGTTTTAGATGACATAGAAGATATACAAAGACTGTTATTGTATTTAGCATTCAGATATCGTTCACAAGTTTTGAAAATTTCTATTATCAATTTCGACTAAGGTGGTGCTTTTTTATATTAAATTCACAAGAAATGTCTTGATACTATCTCTAACCTTTTGTAAAATTAATTCAATTGTTATTGAGGCAAGAAATACTAGTCAGAATTATGCTTACAGATCTTCACTTCTAAACTGTTGGTTTCACAGAGTTTTTGCTCTACTTTTCGGACTTCCCTTCCAAACTATAACTTTTTTATAGACTAGAAATAGTGCTTAACAAGTAATTTCCCAATATTTTGATAAAATATTTACAATGAATTGAAGAACGAATATTTGTGCAGTGCAACTTCTGTTTTCAGTTTCTCCAGTTCTTTTATAAACAAGTTTAAATTTTAATTACGACAAAATGTTGCTACACGGAAATAGAAAATAGAAACAGATTGCAACAGCTTATGTGAAACTACGAATTTTTTGTCGCGTTTGTGAAATTAAAGATTTAAAATTAGATTATTTTTATTTATGTAAAGTATTATTGCCAATTTTCATCGATTTTTGTGAAATTTTGACTAAAAATTAATAATATTGAAAAGCTATTGCAAAATGAAAGACTGGTTCTTTTGTATAATTTCTTTTTTTGTATAATTTTTTATTTTTTAAACAAATTAATTTAATCTCTACGCGAAATAAATTTAATTTAATCTCTACTGAAAGATAATTGAAAGTTTCGCCTACTTCTTCAACAAGTTTTTGATAGATGTTGAAATTGTTCGGGTTTGAGGATGCTCCATATTTTTCGAATATAGCAGTTGCTTCGGCATATCTTTTTTCTTTGATCAATTCGGTTGCATATAACGCTACATATTTGTCCAACAAGAGCTGATGCTATAAACGACATACCTATCATACGTAATAGGCGTAGAATTATGATTTCATTACTTTTGCTTATTCAGATCTTTATGGCACCTCCTACATATTTTTTTGTTCAGTTGGACAAAAATTTTAAAGTTACATTTATGTCACGTAATAAAAACTAACTTTCTGTTGGCGAACTATTTCAAGAGCTCTTTCCCACTCACCCCGTTCCAACAATGCATCAATAGCACTAATTACATCGACGTCCATTAATTCTCCTAATCGACCTTGTTGTTTTAATGATTCTCTATACTTTTCATCCACAAAATCTACCAAATCCGGAACGAATTCCACAGCCAACTAAAACTTAATTACACGAAATAATGCTTGATGAACATAGCAGGCAAGTACAATATGTAGCATACGAGATGGAAGTAATGACTAGCTACTTTTCACCTTGCTTACCTTTTTAGCTTTCGCCCATTGTCCCCCAAGCAAGAAGGCTTTAACAGCATTATCCGGTTGATTTGAAGCCAAAAATAGTTCGGCTGCTTCGATGAATCTTAGCAGTAACATTATAAATTATGATATATCTTCAAGACAAAACAACCATTTTATAAAATAACAAGTTATGCGAAGTATGATACCAACTGCTTAGCTTTGAATATTACAAACAAATTTGACAATTCTACTGACTTTCGACTACCACAGTTATTAAAGCTATCAAAGAAAAAAAGTTTTATGTTAGTATAGTTTGGTTTCAACATTGTTAAACTATAAATATGTAGTACTAATAAATTTTCAATTTCTGTATATGAGTACAATAATGAATTTAACAATATTGTAAATAATGTTTACAAAAGCTGTACCTTTTCAAGTGAATGAAAATTTCCGCAATTTCATCCACTATTGCAGAAGTTTCATCGACCGAGAGAAATTTTACCGCTAATTCTCCTGCCTGAAAAAAGGAAGAAATAATATCTCGATAATAGCACAATTTTGAAAAGACAGACAGGTAAAAAAAATGCTTTTTTCTGACGAACTTATGTGGACGAAACAATTCATAGGGGATGATTTCTGGTATCAAAACAGAAAAATCTGATCCACAATCGGGATTCATTATGATAATGGGGACGTTCTATTTTCAAACTTCGATCATTTAATCAATAAGCATACTTTTCTTCACTAAAAAGTATATATAAAACTCTATCTAATTTGAATTTGGATAGAATTTTTTTTTAATGTTGAAGTACGACGCAATAAAAGAAAATTGTTCTTATCAGTTAATTCTATGAGTCAACCAAAAAAATGAAATCATATTTCACTAATGTATAAATTAGAAATTATTCATTAACAAAAATATACCCGTTTTAAAGCATTTACAATTGTATCGGTATCAGCTGTTTCTGAATCCTTCACCTTCAGATAGCACTGTATGGCTCGAACATATTCTCCCTGAGCTTCCCAATCTCGTGCTTGAGCAATAAATGATAAAATACCTTTTGCGCCAGATTTTAACTGAACTTCATCAAATTCTGCCTGAATCAGTATTTGAAGTTATCACTTCATGTATTTTGTCATTCCAACAAACCAAAATACTATCTCAAAATATAGCTTGTAATAAAATAATAAATATTTGATTATTTTATCTTTATTATGTTTATTACATTTGTTTTATCTTTATTATCTTTATCACATTATTTTATCTTTATTATCTTTATTACATTTCAATACTATGTAAATAGACGAGGAATCGAATGCGGCATGAAATAGGTATGTCATGATAAAGTTTGGTAGGACTAGCAAGTATTTCTGTATCATTATTAAACTATGAAATAATTACTAACTTCTAACTGTTGTAATTCTGTAGGCATATACTCTCTAGCAATACGAATAGCATCTTGCCACATTTCCGATTCTTTATAGTAGCGTAGAATTATTTCGGGACGATTGGCACGAAGCAAGCAACTTTCGGCACATGTAAAATCTTTGTGCTCGATTGCCATTCGGGCTTGACGAATGTATACATCAGATAATGCTTCTGGACTATACTGTCTACAAATCATTCATTCAAAAATTCTAAAAAATTATAGTAAGTTGCAAGGAATTCCTTAGCAGAATTCAGCCAAGTCTACTGCATATATGGTTATTGCTGTTAGCTTGAATGATAATAAAAGTGATGATAGTATTATTGTGATGATTATCTCGTACGGATTATTCAAGCCTTTCCTACTTTCAACTAGAAAAAATAATTGTAAATTCGGAATATAAATGAAAGAGTATAAACTCCGTTGCGATTCAACTATAGCTTTCTATTCGGAAGACTTTTTTTTCACCTATAAAAAACAAGTAGAATTTATCAGATATTCTTTGATTATATAGATTTGATGTTACATGGAATCAGAAGCGGCTAGGAAATATGAGAAATATACTTTGCAACACGTTCTGCATTTTCCCAATCTTGATCATGGATATACATCAGTACGGCTTCTTTCGGCTTTCCACCTTCCATGTAATGCATTTCAGCCTTTTCAAATTCACCTTCCTCTTCCAGCTGTTGTGCTAACTTGAAATGCACCGATGGTAGACGATTTTTTGCTTCCAAACGACATAAATCAAATGCAAAATCGAAAGCTCTAAAGCGAAAGCTATATTAAATAATAAATGGATTCTGAAGAAAAAATTGTCGTTAGTTAAAAATAACCAAACATTACTTAAAATACATTATTCAAAGTCCATTACGATTACTTTTTGGACATTTTTTGGAGTCATTTCTAGATCCATTATTTTTTATATCTAGTAGAGTACACTATGCCTACCCAAAGATAATTCATATCTGATCTTACCCATTTTCACATGCATAATCGATCGATTCATCTAGTAATTTAAATTTCTGCAATAATTTCACCGCAGCATCAGTATTTAAGCTTTTTGCCCATAAATATGCAATCTGCAAAATGATAGATTACACTGATGCTTAAAACTATTTGTAATTTATCACTAATAATTTCCTCGAGTCCACCTTTGGAAGCATTTTTCTATGGGACAAATAAAAAAATGTTGTGCCTGTTTTTGCGCTATGTCGCCGCCTTCTTGCTTTGCAATTCTGTACGCATCGTTCCATATTTCGGCATTACGATACATGTTGACCGCTCCTTTCCAATCACCAGCAAATAAATAATGCTCTTCTGCCGCCCTTAAATCGCCTTTCTCCTCTAAATCAGCTGCGATTTGAAGATGAGCATCCTGTAAGTACGATTTTCGATCAGGAAGATGAAAATTCTGTAAACATGATATTTGATCGTTTTCATCATTTGCTTCCAACACTGAATTCCTACTGTAACAAACCTTAACATCGTCGACATGATATTTTTCCATCAGTCTCATCATATCATCGATCCGACCCGTTTTTTTGTACATTGCAATAGCCTTGTTGGCTTGTCCAATCACGATATACAGCTAAACATGAGATATCAATGATAATTTATAAAGACAATTAAAAGGAATTTTGAAACTAAGTGTAAGAATGGATTAAACATAGAAAGGATTATTTAAATCAATGCCTGTTCCGCATCTTTTAAACGACCGTTGTCTTCCATTGTTTGTGCCAATTCTCCATACATTCGGTCGCTCTCATCTCTCATAAATTCTGTAGCCAGCTAAAACAATTGTAGTCTTTTACAATTCTGAAGCTTATCAACTTTTTCTCTTCCCCTTCACTATCATATCTGAAAACAAAGAACACTGCTAGCTAGCCTTAAAAAATTTTAAGGTCTGTGTACAAGATTTAAAAAGTCGTATGTAAAGATGTGACTCGTCAGAAAACCCCGATTCTGGAGAATATTTAAAAAAGCAGCTGAAGTGTGAATAAATTAGATATTTTAATTAATCAAATAAATTAATGAAATTTCACAAATATAAGTTCCATGCTGATTAGAAAAAAGAAAGTAGCACTTACTCGATACGAGTCAGCCCATCGCGCAGCTTTATTATACATCTCGATTGCTTCACGATGCATTCTCGCTTCAACATACAACATTTCTGCTCGCTGAATTATAATAACTTATTTCAGCATTTATTAATTTAACACTTTGACATCTTTTTTGCTCTAACCTGTTCTAAGACGCCTTTACTAAGATGATTCAATGTTTGATAAACTTCTCATTACTAAAAATAGTATTGTATACTATAATGATTTTCTCGTCTAAGTCAATAAAGTCAGATAATTTAAAATAATCCACCTCAAGATCACCAATGCTTGCATGATGATCAGCGATTTTACAGTAGTATCGCTTTGCTAGATCGTTGTCCTCAAGTACGTCAACAATTTGTGCAGCTTTACCCCATTGTTTTGCTTTGATTGATGCTTCAAGTGCTTTTACTGTTTGCCCACTTTCTGCAAACAGAACGAATTGACGATCTAATTAAGAATATTAGATTAATATATATCAATGGACATATTCAAACCAAGAAAGTGATTTATAGCTGCATCGTAATTTGCATCCGTAATCAAACTATCACCCCATTCTTCTTCCAACAAAACAACGCGTTCCGGAAAATGCACGCGTGCTAACTGAAATGTCGACCGATGAGGAGAGGAAGCATAAGCAAGTATTTGATTTGAGTAATATTTGAAAATTCAATTAGCATTTTATTATCACCTGGATCGCTTTCGCATAACCTTTTCCCTTTCGGTAGTTTTCTAGAGCTTGTTCAAAGTCTTTTGTTGCCTCGAATAATTCACCAGCCTGAAAAATTCGGAACTTCTCCTAGTTTTTACTTTGATACATTAGATTTACAAAGATAGGTTAGATCAATTCGAAGAAAAAATGGATAGAAACTTTTTCGAACAGATCAGATCGTATTAGTGCGGTGGCGACGTTTTGTACCAAGTCATCTTTGAAGAAGAGTTTTGGATTTTGCAAAAGTATACGAGATGCTTGAACGACCAAGCCTGCTTTTATATATAATTCTATTGCAACAAGTAAGTCACCATCACTCTCTGATATCTAAAATTAGAAAACAACTAGCAAGTATCAACTGTTATCTTAATTTAGTTAAAAACTATTATTGAACTATATTTTCAAGATTGTAATGAGTGACAATGATCGGACAATTCTAAAATTATCGTATTTAGATGCGTTAAATTTCTGAATGCATAAATGATCTGGAAAAGATAAGAATTAACTAAGAAAGCTTGCCGAGATGGTTTCAGTAGCATGACTTTAAGCGATATATAAACAATAATCATAATAAATAGTAGTATATGTGTTATAAAATACTTGAAAAGAAATTAAAAAAATTGATGAACATTTGAAAAATGCCAACTTGTGCAGCTTTTCCTTCTTGACCTGTATCGGACAGATAACGATAGTATTGAGCTTTAACAGTTTCCAAGTTTGGATGATTCTAGAAAAATAATTTATCCGGTTTTCAGGATAAATATAATCACAAAGACATTTTATTGATCTATCAGAAATGGTAAAAGAATCATAATTTCAATTTTTAAAAAAATAGAAATAAAACATACATGTACTTGGGCCAACTGAAATGCTTCCTCCCACTTTCCAATTTGTTGGTACATTTCAATAACTTCATTTAACGCATTCTGTAAATTGCAATTAAATTTGACAGTAAAACAAAATTTCTCTCATTTTAAAAATTTTCCAAGTTTGTTTTCAATTAAATTTGGATAAGAATAAAGGAATGCTTGAAGTAGCATAATATTATGATGTAATGCTCTCGATTAATTTTTATGATAGATACATCTCTAAATTGCAAAACTACAAGAAACGTAATAATGAATATGAAATAAATTGCATTACCTGTTCAAGATAAATTCTTTCAACTTCTCTAAAATCCTTATTCATAAGTGCTGATCGCGCTCGAACCTGCAAAAATAATAATAATGCTCTCTGACTACCAACGAAATAATGTGTATGAATCGACAATTTATCAAGAAATACATAACTTCTTCATTTTAATCAAATATCACTTTTAGCTATTTCCATCCGTTGCAAAAAAATGTATATGAGAAAATTTCACGTATAGAAAACTGTGTACCGATACAGTGATAGTTCAAATAAAAAAAGAATACTTTGTAGTTACTTTTCCCGTCCTCACCGGTACTTCTGGTGACTTCATCAGCAATTCGAATCGTTTCGACGAGCATTTGCACTCGTGCTATGTCACCTAAAGCTGCGAAACATCGCTGTGCTATCAGTAGTTGTTGTTGTGACAGTGCAACCTGTAAAAAATGTATTATATCGAAATCTTCTCGAAGACTCGAAAAATCATTCCCATCAAATATTATAATTTGTAACACTTACTTATTCAGTGATAAAAGTAATCATGAAAAACCTGGGAAAGCTGACGCCATAGTATCGTTGTATCATATTCTTCTCGTTTTTCCAAAAAATCAATCGCTCGACCAAAATCGAGCCGATCGATAGCAGAAGCAAATTCAATGAGTGTTTGGTCAAGTTCATAAGCAACTTTTTCGTTTGCTTCCTATAAATTCATTCCTTAAAACGATAAAAAATATGGTACAGTAAGGAAGTGGAAATAAAAGTTTTGCAAATTTAAAAAAATGCAAAAATGAGCTACCATACGAACCATTTTGGAAGTGGAAGTACTTAGTATGGTACTCACTAGCTTCATCCCCTATTCAAGACCTAAAAAAGTTGAATCCATCATGGCTGGTATGAATTAAAGTGATCTTTCTTATGTACCTTTAATTTTTTTGATATTTGGACGAGAAATAAAAATTTCAGATTCACTAATACTGTGATCGTAATATATTTCATGTTTAGCGAAAATGTTTAGCATTTTCGTCTACTGATTTATTCTTACTTACTTGCAATGCAAGCTAATAATGACTTATAAGTCCCTTTTTATTCCTACAAAATTTGCGAAAAATTGATCTCAAGTCTTTTCTTGCGTCCAGCATGTTGTTTATTTGCAATTTTAATTTAGATATTTAAAATTACAAACTTTTCATACCTTTTTTTCTCTAAATGATTAAGAACAAGAGTTTCTATTAAGATTTTCTCATTTTAGCAGTTTTACTTTTTCCTCCTTCTCACAATACAATTCATTATCTTCAGTCTCATTAAGAAAATAATGATAATATCAATGATAACCTCAACAATAACTTCAGTTCTAGACTCATCACGGAGAACAATTTCAACTTCACCTTTTATAGGTACCATTACCACCTGCAAAATGCAACTATTTTTTGTATTGTGCTAAATTTCATGCAAAAAAATGAAAATAAAAACCTTGAAAAGACAGAAAACGAAAAAGGTACTTTACTTCATCTGGATTTTCAGCTTGATACCAAATACAAAGCTGGTCACCCGATTGAGCCACAATGACATCACTATTGGGAACCCACTGAACATAACTACAGTAATCCAACAATGATATTTTTCGATCAGTTTTTAGATCAGCTAACAATAACCGAGATCTCTTGTCGCGAAATAATAATTTTGTTGCCATTTCACTAAGCTGAAAAGATAAAATTTTCTATCAATACGTTCAATTCCACTACGTCCTTCATCATATTCTATTTTAAAAAAGAATATTTTAATTACATGAATCCATGCTAAATGATTAGATTTGATAAATATAATGATATGATCAATGATGATGATTGATTAGCATAATAATATAATAATTAATGGTTAATTATCAAGTTATTCTCGATAATAATAAACAGCATTACAAAATTTATTAAAATTTAAACATTTCGCTCATTCCATTCAGCAATCAAATAAATGGAATAAACCTCAAGCCAGTCGATGTATATCGGATGCGAAAATTGTGCAATCTGTCGCTGAGTAATCAAATCAACTATAAAAAGAGAGTTATAAGATAAGAAAAAAAAGGACATTAATTTTAATTGTCTTAAATCCAAAATTTTATAAATATGATTATAGCTTTTGAACAGAACAAATCTAAATAAATAGATTATACTATCACAGTCCTTATTTTTATGGTGAATAATCGATAATGATAGAAACATATTATGACATTCAAAGGTTTAATTAATATTTGAAGGATCAAAAAAAGTTAACTCCCTTACTTGGAATTAAACAAAAGTAAAAAACTGAACCAACTTTGCAAGATTTTATAGAGTATCGGAAATACGACAGAAGATAATACATACTCTGAAATTATTCCACAGTAAAACAATCAGTCACATACCCACTGAAATAGTATTCAGGTCGAGAAGATAGGCAACACGTTTTATGGCACCAGCATTTTTCATTTTCTGTTCGGTAAGTCGTACTGAGATGAGATGTGGTGATGTGAGCTCCGTTCGAACCCATCCAATTATTTCATTACTTCCATATTCTACCAAATTTACCTGTTAACAAGAATTCATTCATTGAATATAATTAATGAATAACTAATATATATATATATATACTTTACGAAACATACGGCCACTTAAATATTGAATTTTAAACATTAGCATTTCAGTGTTAAATTGGTTATCAAAATACTAATTCACGGTTAAATCAGCAGAAATATGACAATCACTTCCGACACATTTTATTTATTAATGTGAAAAATTTGGTTCGCTGAAGATGCATGAGTCGTATGCTAAAATTCAAATTATTGTTATAACTTCAGATACACACATACCTCTCCAGCATTTATTATCATGCAAACATGTTCGTTATCAAAATAGAATCTTTCATTACCAACACTTTGCCATTCAATTTCGCTGCAACAACCCGTGGTCATATCGGCAATTATCAATGTATTCGTTGTGTAAGCCACCACAAATCGATCATG